TTCCAACCCCCAACATTCTGTGATTCTGTATGTCAACCTCCGTGATGTACAGAAAAGCAAGTTCCTCAAGCTACTTCTGACTGCTGACTGCCCAGAAGGGGCTGCAATCACATCCCACATACCGAAGGCACGTGACACCGTAAGAGATCGCAGCATGGGGATACTCAAATCCTGCAGCAGAGAGCTCATGCCCGTGAGGTTTAGTTGGTTTTCTCATCACAGATAACTGCGTCTGAACAAAACAAGCTCTGTGAGAGCAGAGCAGCATGTTTCTCAGATTTAGCCATCCCGGATAAACGAGAGAGAACGAGATGTAACACTAGAACTTGAATCTGCATGAGAAACCCCACTTACAAAGCTTAGCCTGCAGGACCTGTCTCTCTGTCTGCCACAAAGACAACCAAAGATTAACCTCGCAAAGCCTGGTAAGATACTTCTCCCCATAAACTTCATCTTTATTACATGCTGAGTTTTAAACAAGCTGGTAGAAGCCATAAAGATAACTCGTAATAGTTTGTTTACTACCTGGAGGGAAAAAAAAATACAGGACAGCTTGACAACATAAAAAATTAACAAAAAGAACTTTTTTTTTTCCCTAAGAGAAGTAATTCCACTGCATTGGCACATTCTTGATTTATGTAACATGGTGCCAGTTTGTAAGTATTCAGCTGCTCGCCAGGTGTGGAGGCCTGTCCCACCCTAAATAACTCCAACTGCATTCCCACACTCCAATCCCAGCGCTGATCACAGGTGGGGCAATAGCTCCCAATCTGCCAGAATGCGGCTCAGCCCGCCCCAGACGCAGCAAAGAACAGAAGGTTTTTCAAACAGCAGCCAGACCAGAGCAGCAAGCGGGAATTCTCTACTTCACGCCGTGTCAAGAAAATACTTACGGGGTTGTGAACTTCGGCGGTCGAGTGCCGCACAGCCCACCAGTCAGACGTCCACTCCCAGGCGTTTCCCACCATGTTGTACAAGCCATACCCGTTGGGAGGAAACGCAGCGACCTGTACGAGACGTAGGACGTGAGTGACAGTTCTGTCAACGCCTCAGCGTGAAATAACGTCCCTAATCCTGAAAGACCGATCTGCGGAAGGTGCATTTGTCTTTACCAGGAGCTTCTGCCTTCACTTCTCAAAAGCAGACCCCAAATTAGTAGCACAGAACTGTAACACTTCTAACATGTCCCATACAAATATGAAAAAAAAATAGTTATCATCCATTCCACAAGCTTCCACTATGGCACAAAGCATCTTCTCAGTGGTTTTGGAGACTCAGACACACACAGATTTCTCTGCCAATTAAAATTTTGAGACCGGCTTTAACTACCATTTAATAATTCACTCACATTCTTGGCTACCTCAAAAATTCCATTCCATTTTTTGCCATACTAGTTGGACTCAACCTCTCCAAAAAGGGATGTTTCGTTTCTGTGTAACTACTGCACTGCATCTGTGCCTTGGGAACAACTGCCCAAAAAATGAGAGTTCACAAAATTGCAATACCAAAAGTGCAGGCAGAAAGTATTTCAGCTTCTGACTGTAAACGACTGGAAAGAGGGAAAAGAGGTCAGTCTGAGAGGAACTAGAAGTTAAAACCAAAGTAATCTTTGCTTTGCAAATAACTTTTTAAAAGTGTCCCCTGGTAATCCCCAAGCCTGAAGTGAAACACACTGCAGCGTGAAAAATCTAAAGGTGAAGGAGTGCAGGAATGGAACACAACCACCACTCACTGAGCTGAACGTAAAACAATTCAATTTTAGGAAAACTAAGTTCACTTCCACGTGATTAATTCTCTCCTGAGACCCACTTACAGGCGCAGTTCCTTTGTACCCGTCTTCTGCGGTGTTAGTAGTCGGGAACACTCCCTGCCAGATGTTGGCATAATGTTGACCTTTGGGCTGAAGCTTGTTGCCCCATGGGAAAAGCCTAAAGACACACAGAACAACAGCTGTCAAACAATTTTATTTTTTTTTATTAAAAAGACACCCCAGTACACAAGAAAAAGACATTGAGGGTAATAAAAACCCACACGACATGTCCTTATCTAGTAAAGGACAGTTTAAAATGTTCATCAGCAACACCTTTGTGACAGGTACCTCTTTTCGAGCCCCCCGCGACAGCTGTATTCCCATTCAGCCTCCGTCGGTAACCGTTTCCCTGCCCACGTGCAGAATGCCACAGCATCGTTCCAGGAAACATGAAGAACCGGATGATCCATTCTGGAGAGCAAGATAAACAGGGCAAGATTATCACCGAACCAGGAAACCTCACAGCTCTACAGCACGAGCACTTTATGAAGCTCCTTTAGAGGTGGCCAGAAGGGAGTATGAGGAAGTTTCACAGCTGAGTTACAACGGGATGAGGTATCAGGTCCCTTTTACAGAAAAGAAGCTATTTAAAGAAGAACAGCAAGATGCTGGAAGGAAAATGCACCCAGAGAAAAACAAGAAAAAAACCAAAACTTGTTTGTCTCATCGTGCTTTTATGTACAGCTCTCTACAGCTAACAAGGACATTTGTGGCTCGTGCCTCCGCATGTTCTCACCTCGGAAAGCTGCTGCAGCCAGAAGCTTGTGAAGAAAAATTGATATAGTGGCTCTGTGGAAATGTAGGTGCTCCAGAGACCCAAAGGAAGACACCAAGGGCCTGCACCAGTACTACTCCTTGCTAGGCTCGTTTAAAGGTATCCAAACAAGAAGCCAGAAGTGCTCAATAGGAAAATTTAAAATGCAATTTAATGGCAAACGCTCTCCACTCCCTTGTGTGCTCTTCTCTTTGCCATCAGCTGTGGGGTTTCTGAGGGAGAGGCGAGATAAGAACAAGCCCTTGCTTTTACCAACACTCTATCTACAAAAGAGTGAACTGCAGAAATATAACAATGGGGTTTTTTTTCTTTGAGTGTTTCAAGCTGTCCATAGTTTACACAAAAGCTCCCATCTTTCCTTTGGCTCAGTTGCAGGATTCCTGGTCTCTCTTTCCAGAAAAAGACATGAAAAATGCTTAGTCACTCTCATCACTGCCATCCTCCCCATCCGAGCCTCCAACAGAGCAAGATACTTCAAGAGCTGAGGGTACTGGTCCAGAGGACAGGCCAGGAGACTGCTGGTGAACTTGTCTCTCCCACCTCATTTAACAAACCAGTGTTTATCTGTCGGCCTTTCCACGTGGCAAGTTCACCCTCAGCTGCACTAGCCCAGGTTTGCACCATCCTTCTACAGGACTGGACGCACACGGCAGGTTTCCAACTCTTACCTGCAGACTGTGACCTAAATTTCTCTGCCTTCCCTTAACAACGCCTCCTGACATTATCTCTATTTTTGCCTCAGATAATTCTTTCATTACCCTTGGAGAACAGACAACGGACTCGTTACTAGGCAGTTCAGCCATCAGATGATGTTACACTAACACCGGCCCGTCCTTAGAGGACTCAAAAACACGCCAGCACCTACTAGATCTAGGCTAGAGAGTCTGACTTTATTTCAAACAGAAGTTTTGAAACTTTAACTAGTTAAGGCAGCTTGAAACAACTTCACTGACACCTGCCAGGCAAGAGAAAGAGTTGCAGTAGAGAAGGCCCCAAATGAGGACAGACATCTCCACGTAAGCACAGAGCAACCTACGGAACAGAGCAATGGCTCTCCACGTGGGCAACCCAGGGCTAGCTCTGCAGTAGCTGAAAAACCCCCTGAGAACGATGGAGCCTTTTGATTTTCCAGCCATAAAATTCATTACACTTCTGAATGGGAAGAGATGGCACAAAGACACGGATCAGCAAGTTGTGGGGTTCATGCTAGCAAGGCATGACACTACCTACAGGCATTTAGAGCTGCGAGATAAAATCACAAGTGATTTTTCACAATAATCAGCTCGCAGAGTCAGGATACAGTAAAAAGCACAAAACTCTTGAGTTTTCTGCTCCCAAAGAAGTAATTCTCCACATCCCAGGTGGAGGACATGCTACATGGACTCAGACTCTGTGTGCAGCTGGCATTTAGCGTTCCTCTCCAAAACCAGATGTGCACTGAATGCTCTCAGGTTACTGGCCCTCTAAAGATCTACTCTGTTTCCCTGCTGATACATAAATGCAAATAGGAAACACACTGAAGCACATTCCAGAATGATCTCTTTTCCTTTGCGTGGACGCTTTAGACGCCACTGACGACGCAACCACAGATCGTAGTACGCAGCATGCTAGAAGATGGGAAAACAGAAGCAGCAGCAAACAGGTAACTAATTCAGAACTCTTCCGTGTATCCCCATTCCTGGTGCAAGCTTACAGGTACATTTACAAGCATGGTGTATTATAATTGAAGGGATATTCAGGGCTTACCTGTTGGAGATGCTGGAGTCGGGACCCTCGGGGTGCTTCCAGCTGGCTCCCTTCACAGGCAACCACCAGGGAGCGGCTGCAACCTGAGGAGGGATGAGAACGGCCAGGGAAGATGACTTAAACTCCCAGCTAAAGGCTGTTCTGAAAAAGCACCAAGTGAGAATGGGCTACAAAGCCTTCACTGGCAGCTCGCAGCTCTGCAGCCAATAACCTCCTGACCCACAACGCTCCGAACCATCTCTGACAAACCACGATGACCATTCGACCCACACCACAGCGCTGCCGGCCAGGGAACAGCCCCAAGAAAAGCACCACCCGAAAACAAGCGACAAGGAGCCCAAATCCTGAGCACGCATTTCGGAAGGCTTTTGCGCTGGCTGCTTCTCCTTCCCTTCTACATGTTCCCACCTGCAGGTCTGACAGAAGGCACAGTTTATTCTCTTTGAAGGCACAGCCTTCAGCACACTAGCTGCACTGGGCCACAGTGTCCTCTTGAAAATTCCCGTTTTAACCTCTGAAAACACACGCCAAGAACACTTCGGTGGTGCTGGTTGGAAGAGGTCACCTGGAACACCACAGTTTCACTCTATTCTTTTTCGGCAGCATGCCCTCAGTACAGGTAAATCAGCCAGCCTCAGTCTGACACACGCTGCGGAGATGATAACAACAAACAAAGAAAAGGCAGTTTTGGCTTAAAGAGAATTTCCATCCCAATTACTTGCTCCCTACACTCAGGGTTTGGGAATAACTAAAACAAAATCCTTTAACTGGGGTAAAAACATGCACCTTGCAACACATTTGCTTTCCAGTTAATTAACTCAGTAAGCTGATTTCAAATTATTTGCTGTCAGCTTCCAGAAGGTGGAGACAGAAGAGCCACAGAATTGAAGCCTTTTTTTTTTTTTGGCTTGCTTGATGTTGCTCAGCAAACCAACTGGGAAAATACTCTGTAACAGCGCAGCCATGGAGTGCTTCTCTCTGCCCCAAGTCTCCAGTTTGGTTCTACAATGCCAAGGAATTACTCCTGGAACACATTAATTAAGGATTTCTTCTATTAAGTTTGCTTCAAGGCTGAGAAGGTCAGTGCACAGCACATTTAACTATTCCGTTCTGATTCACTTTCACTTAGGAACACTTACCTTAATAACGGCTCCTTTCAGAACATTGAGGCAAAAAAATCCACTTATGCTAACCATCAACAGTGGTTTTATTCCAGCACCTTAAGTGCTTGCTTCCAGAATACTCCTATTATACAGATAATTTCCATAATGAACAAAAATGAAAGGAAATAAGCCTCCAATGCTTTAGGAGTTAAACAGCCCGCCCGCTGGTTAGCTCCAGACCCACGAGATCCAGATGCCGCTCGAATACTGGCCCGTGGAACAACCTGCAGCAGTTTCTCCAGCTTTCCCACTCAGGAGATGGCACAGGGAGTAAGTAAAGCGTTAAACACACAGGTGGGAATTGTACTGAGAGGCAAAATTAGGAAATTTTTTTTCCCCAGCAAGAGCAGTCAGAGCTTGGCACAGGCTGCCCAGGGAGGGGGGGGAGTCCCCACCCCTGGAGGGGTTTCAAGGTTGATGTGGGGTTGGGGGAGATGGTTTAGGGGTGAGCTTTGCAGAGTAGGGTTCATGGTTGGACTCGGTGATCCCAAGGGGCTTTCCCAACCTGAGTAATTACTGATTCTAAGAGCGTTATCCTTTAACTCACAAGATCCTTCACAGGAAAGTCAAAAAGCAAAAGTTCCTAAAAGCTGGTGCTCAGGAGACACAGCGTCAGTCCAGTCAAACAATTTTAACAGCTCCTTCTAGGAAGTGCATTTAACACATAACAACACGTGCACGATAGAAAAAACCATTGATGACAAACATAAATTGTGAATAGAATTGCACAAAAAGAAATAAAGACGATCTCGGCAGCTTGCTGCTGCGCTCTCCACCTCACTGAGACCCTTGAGGCAGCTCCTGAAGCAAGGACACTGCTTAGAACTTCTGCTTTGACCTCCCTAGCACAAGCACAGAAATCGACACCACCAACCACATAATTCTGTCTCGGTATCTAACACAGCCAACAACATTCCCACCCCAAGTAGAACCCCTGCCCTTTCCAGAAAAGCACAAGAAGCATTCCACCTCCTTCTAGTAACTCTGGCTCCGTTACTGAGCATTCTAATCCAAAGATGGCATCTTCACTCGCAGATACTGAAGCTCCAGCATGACCCAGCTGCTAAACAGATCCTACAGTCAGTAGCTTTAAAACTCATCTGATTTAACCAGTTCCCTGTATATTGAGTTTTAACCTTTAATCTATATTCAAGGTAGGGCAGAGATCTAACATTAGAATTTTATGGTTCTTTAAGTAAGCGAGCCACGGTCCTGTTTGCTAAAGGTTCTTTGCGAATCTGGAAGTTCACAAGGAAAAATCTCATCCCAATCTTTTCCAAGCACGATACGTTTTTGTAAATTAAACTGCTGGGGTGTTGGATTAAAAAAAAAAAAAAAATAAAACCTCTGCAGGAGACTGCAAAGACTTACACTTTAGAAGACTTGATTTTTGGACAACATTTTTGTTATGCAAAAGAAAAAGCAGATGCTTTCAATCAGAATGGTTTATTTTAAACCGAGAAAAATGCCGTCTCTCCACACGAGAGCACTACGCGTGCACGTCTTCTGTTCCTGGCTCTGCCGAGCTGAACACCAAATGGCTGCCGGTCTCTGCAGAACACCCAGAACCTTGGAAGAGTTACACAGACAGTACTAGGACAGGGAGAAGTGTGATTGACTACGTACAGCCTTCAATAATTCACTGGAAACTCATCCAAGTCACCGACACCAGCGAGCGTGCACCAAGGCGCTCCTTCCAAAAGAGAAAGTCGTGCAGCCGCAATTTACGGTCCTTCCAGAAAACTTCTCCAAAGTCTTTAAAGCTTTTAATTGCTCTAATCTAATTAGTAGAAGAGCTAATTAGACAGAGACATTACAACACCACAGCTAATGCAGCAAAGCCCTCCCTCGCCGCTAATGAGCTTAGCTCCTTTCGTAACGCTCCGCGTTACGCTTTGCTCCGAAAGGCATCTTCCAGAGACCAGCAACAGACTCAGTCTGTAAAAATAACGACATATGCAGAATAGATCTCTAAGAGATACCAAACGACGGGACAATATCTCATTCGTTTCGATTAATCCTTCCTGGCGGAGCCGACTGATTCCAAGAGAAGCGGTTCAAGAGCTGCACCCCACCAAGGTTACACAACCGCCGCGGCACACGGGGGAACGCAGCCCCCGGAGCAGAGCACATGGCAGGGGCACAGCAGCTCAGTGCTTGTCTCGGTCTGATCCAGCTGAAAAAACTTGGATTATCCAGCTCTCTGCTCCAGGATTAAACTTTAAGAACTCACTGTTCCGCTTATCACGGACCTGTAGCACTGCGGAGAAACGGCAACACGCTACGATGATGCCGGGAAAAGCTATACTAGCAGTTAATTCCAGCCTACAAGTTTTCCACTCAAATGAAGCCATTTGCAGAACTGAAGCATATACTCCCACTGTCAGCTTGCATAAAATTCAAAGTTTTAAGTATTCAATTTTCTTTTCAAAGTAGGCTGGGCTATCCTAACTTTAATTGCTCCATTAACTCATGATTTCAAGATTTTTAGGCCGCTTCACAATTACCTGGAGGAATATTCCTCCCTACATCTACACAGAGAAAATGAAACGGGGGAAATCAGGAAAATCAGTTCCATGTTCAGCATTACACCATTACTGGTGCTGCAAAATCAGCAGGGAAATACCCTTAAAAACACACCCCAAAATACCCAACTGAAAGGCACGAAAACATTTGTATTAGTCTTGCACCTAACAAGGCACTGGCCACATTAGATAAAAAAAAAAACCACCAAAACCAAAATCAAAGCCAACACCACCAAAACCACCCACAAACACCCCTTGCTTTAGCTCATAAGTTCAAGTTCAAATCACATTTATGTATTAGAAAAATTAGCAAAAATAAACTCAACCGAGTAGCCCAAGTAGCTAATGTTGGCTCTAATTCCATTTCTAACACGCAACAAGTCACTTGACATAACGAAGCTGTAGATTTCAACCTTAAGTCAGGCCTGTAAGACGATGAGAAATTCATCCTGTCGTCCAGACATGCAGCAAACATCTTTTTTTGACATGCTACAGCATTAGAATGCTATTTTAATACAATAAGGCTGCACACTCTAAGTCAAGATAAACATCTGGAAGAAGCAAAAGTTATTGCAGAGTAAGAACTTGAGCAATTGAGGAATCAACTGTCTGAAAAAGAGATTTTTTCCGAATGAGAAGTAGTCTAAATCTGGAAAACACTTTGAGAATCATTTATTAGGCGGTGGGTTCTTAAAGAAAGTTACGCACACTTGGGTTTCAGCCGCTGGCTTAACAGGTTACCGCTCGTTTGAATCCGACTGCCTTCAGCGCCGCACATCCGGAATTTGCAAAAGCATCCTCTTGGCTACAAAAGCAACATGTGCATCAGCGGGAAGCGGGGAAGTTATGAAGCATTAACTCCGGGAAACACACTCAGTGGTCTGGACACCCTCCTTGCAAGCATCGGTAGGACGCAGGAAAAAAAAAAAAGACTCAGTAAAGAACATTGGGTTTGGATGAGGTTTTATTTTACCCATGGAAGGCAGATACGCATAAATCTCTGTCAATTTTTCCTCCTCTGTGGCGTATCTTAAGCCCTGAACAGTTGATTAATGAACTACCCAAGAAAGAGGCAGAGAACAGAACATTTTTAGTAGGGCAGAGAGTTGAAGAAATAAAACTAATTGCTGTGCAGCACCTGAGCCACTGGCATCTTCCCCTCAGAAACCACAAAGACATCGCATTAGATGGCAAGTAACATCACACCTATTTTTCTAGGCAGCCTCAGCACACCTCCACAACACCCCTCAGAACTTTCTTCCCTTGCTCAGATTCAGGACAAACGCCCCCCATTCACCTTCTCCGCTCTGCTGCTCCTCCTGCGCGCACCGAAACCAGCCTGAACGCGACCTATTTCTACGCCGCGCATCATCTCTATAGCAACGGGCTCGTGTT